GAAGATTTACTTAGTAACGATCTGAATGTTTCGTTTCTTTCACGAGTATTAATGGCTTAGTAAACTAGTTGTTACAATGTTTACTATCTGGGTAACACATATACTTATATGAAGGTTGTGATAAGGAATCGTTCAACATATTTCAGTGGATTAACTAAAAAGACGATAGAGTCGTTTTTCAGGATTATATGAAATAAGTTTTTATATTTTGTAAGTGTTCTTTGGATATACTGACCACACATCAGTCCAGTAGACTAGAGGGTTCATTTTTGTTGTGTTTCGCCCACAGACTACTTACGTTCAAAAGAGTTTGGGGGCGTTCTCCATGTGTTAAATTATTTATAGTTATGTATGGAGGTAATGATAGTTAGTACTTCATAGGTGTACCTAGTTGTTAACATTTTTAATTCTGTTGTAGGTATATGTATATTGTTTAGTATATTTTTTATAAATGGAAACAATTATTGACTAGTGAAACCAGTTAAGTTGATACTTATTTAATACTAAAATAACTTTTGTTAAGGATTTCAGAATGACATTGAATTTAGAGAATAAGTATTTGTCAGTATACATAATAATATTATCGAAGTTTGAACCCTACACTCTCAGTAGAGATGATTGAACAGTAGTATCTACCACTTTTAAAACTACCCACTTCATATTAGACTTGAAAGGTGTTTTTCTGAGGGTTCTTCATATGTTGGCGTTTTGTTGGGTGTTGGTACTTAAAAACTATTTTTGATTATTACGTTTATGAGTAAAAAGTTCCATAAGTAACATATGCACTCCCCAAAATTACTTTAGGTTCAGAAATAGTCTAATAGCTAAACTATTTTTAGAAACAACATAGGCTTTATCATATATATATCATGTGGAAACACTCATAATAATTAAAGGATACACTATTATTATCAACAAGCAGGACGGAAGTTAAAACTATTCACATTAAATGTTATTATGGAAGCTAAGCAAGATTAGAATAAAAATAAAAACTAATTCGTTATCTCAACACGGACATAAATGTAACTTCAAACGGAAAGATTTATTTTATGCTCATACGTTAACTAAAATAGCCGAAACAGACGCAAGGCAGGCAACACACCTGTTACGGACGTAAGTTTGTTAGAAATAGATTAAAAAAAATAACTAAATAGGATTGACAGTTTTATTTAAAGATGGCCGCTCTGGTTGGCGGGAATACGTTTTCCAACTTCACAAATTAGTTTGGTTGCGAGTTTACAAGTTGAAATGTTGACGTTGAAAAATATTACAACGTTGAACGTTCGGCTGAAATAACATTGTGTGGGTATACTGAAATTATGTATGTTCGTATTTAGTTTTATTACAGAATGTTAAAACTAGGAAGGAATCAGTTTTCATGTTTTCTAAGTAGGTTTTCCTACGCTACGTACCTACGTACGTAGCGTAGGAACTACTCAATTTTGGCAGTTCTATTCAAAGTGTCACGGGTTCGATTAACAGGAGAGTTTTTGGATTAAGATACTAACATGATAAGTATATTTAAAAACACTCATGACATAGGAGAAAACAGGGGGTGGGGCAACGAACTTTTTCAGAGTAAAATTACGAACATAGCATAAAATACCTAATGTGTTACCGGCACATACATAAATAATTAAGGCATGTATGGGGTAAATAAATAAGTGGTAATAACGGTAAAATAAAACTAGCTGCGGTAGTAAGTTTTCATGCATAACTCAGTATATTTTTATCAAATTTATGATTTGATCGAATTCAATAATGCATATGCCTAATATTCGTTAATTGACTGATTTCTTAGTAAGTAATACTGCAAGAAAAATATGAGTGATTCAAATTGATAATTTTCACATTTCTGAAGTCGCTAAAATTGTTCTGTTTTTTCTTGTAAGAATATAGAAAGGGCACTATGAATCATCTTACCTACATAGATAGTGTATTCCCTAAAAGCTTTGGCTTAATTTGGTTATAAAACAACACTTTTCATGTAAGTCAAGTAAGGATTTCCGTAAGCAAGTTTCTATACACCTGTGTTGTGTTAGTAGTGAGATCACCAACCAAAATATTTGGTTGTGGGTGAAATTATTGACTCGTGGGATGTGGAACTAGCCTTTAATAGCTAATTGTCTTTTATACCTACTTAAGAGATTTGATTTGAATTTAAATTTAGAAGGGTCTTTGTGAACAAAAAAGAAAAATTTCGTGCATAACCGCAATTGAAGACAAAATTGTGCTTCACATTTGTTTTTTTTAAATATATTTTTGATGTGTAAAAGTTTTATTTATGGTCTATTTATGAAAAATAAATACATTGTTTTTGAATTTGTGAGTGGAATTTAACAAAATGATAGTTATAAGTACCTATACTTAACTGTAGGATAATTGATTGCATTACATACTGTACCTACTCTTTACAACCTATTTAGGTAGTACAAGCTGTTGTCTTTTACCATCGGATAATATAGAATTCTTCCTCTTTTTTCATTGACTACAACTACTCACTGTCTAAATTCTCATATTATGCGGTATTCTTGTGACATGCACATGATGCAACAGCATGCCATCACGTTTATTTCCTGGTATGATAGATGGCTGTTAAGATGTACAACATGCTACATCCATCTACTTGTATATATTTATGTGTACTTACATTATTTATATAAAAATGAACAACTATTTCTCTTGATCACGGCAACATGCATGAAGGATTTGCATGAAAAAACGACTTAAATTCAGGCAAATTCTTATTATAATTGACATAGGAATGGGAAAGAAACATTTGATACAATTTTGTGCCAATTTCATTACATAATTAAATACCGAACGTCACCACCGATTATGCGAATTAATTGAAAATTCGGATAAATCAAACAAAGAATGGTAAGAACGAACAACTAGCTATTACACATAGAGTACCTACCTAAATAACTTTGTTAACTTTACGAACAAACAGTTTTACAGCAACGCTTACTTAAACATCTCAATCAGAGTCAGTAGCTATAAAATGCACCATTGCTACATTAAAGAGGATACTTTTTACTGTTAACTTAGTTAAAATAAATATATAGGTATTACCTAACAACATTCCAGTTAATCCAAGTTCAGTCAGTTGGCGTTATATGGTACGTGAATCCTCTTTCTGTGAATCCTCCAAACCTCTTTGAAGGTTTCAGTGCCATAATGTTATCAACTGTAAGAAAATCAAGCTAAGCTATTAAAAAAACTTCGTAATTAACAATAGCGGAAGTGATCGATAATATTTGGCGAGTAACAACGTTATAGCCGATGTGCAATAGGAAGTTGTAAATTGAGTATTTGATGGGCTATTAAACTGTGTGTACTCTACTCAAGATTAATAAGTTATGACTAGAAACCAATGAAGCAATTTTAAAAGTTTAAAAGAAGTGCTAAACTTAAGTTACATTATACATTATACATTATATGATAGGACCGCAAACTGACAGGCTGATTAACTGATGGAAATCGACAACCGCAACACCAGTGGAGTTATGAGTGCATTGCCAGCCTTTCAAAGTCAAACACCTGGTTTCCGAAAGGCCGATCAATGTTAAAATCAATTTAATCTCTTGTCAAGTCATCTGATTGGTTGACTGAATTATCAACAACCAATCATATGACTTGACGAAAGATTTAACAGGAGATAGTTCATTTTAGCGTTGAGAAGCCTTTCAGAACCCGGGTGAAAGTCAAAGTCAAAATCATTTATTTCAATTAGACCACTTTAGGCACTTTTGATCGTCAAGCAAGAAAATATATTTGAAGAGGTTTAACTTTATGCGTGTCAATCTGTCCTCTAGTGAAGCTATTTGCTCGTTCCAAAGTGTAGATTCCTATGGAGAAGAACGAGCAACAAACTCCATGGTTACTCTTTTTTAATCAGTTTTACAATTCATTTCTTTGTTACATAATTACATTAGTCTAGTAGTTTAGGGTTTGGATTGGGGAAAGGGAAGGATAGGGCCTCCAGTTATCTAACATACGAAAATGAAATGCTGTTCTTTAGTCTCACCAAAACTCAAGAACGGTTAGACCAATTTGGATAATTTTGGTGTTTAAATATTCGTTGAAGTCCAGGAAAGGTTTAACAGGGCAATACATTTAATTACATTGTGGCGGAACGAAGTTTGCCGGATCAGCTAGTATTATATAAAAATAGGCATTAATACATGCATTAATACTTAAGTTCTTTGCTCAACCTTGGACGGCAGGAGTGGTTTGATGATTTTCTTACCTTAAAAAGGTTGTAGGTAATTATTTATACTGAATTACAAATGCTAAAGTACTGTACTTTAGCATTTGTAATTCAGTATAAATGTCTGTCTTTTCTTCACGCCTAAACTACTGAACCAATTTCTGTGATATTTGGTACTTTCAGACATAGTTTGGAACTGTAGAAAGGACATAGGATAGTTTTATACCAAAAATCCGCAGGAGATTTTTGGTATAAAACTTTTTTTTAGTTAGGCACTAGTTAGGCACGTGGACTACCACGCGAACGAAGTCGCGGGCAAAAGCTAGTAAGATTATATAAATGTACTACCTACCTCTATACTCGGACTTTTAATTCCATTCCAGATTTGACAATTTCAGTGTTGCAACGTTATGACACGTATTAAATAGTGACGTTGCGAAATTATTCGATGTGGAAATCGAATATTTCTGAATCGATTCCTCTCGTTTATAAATTTAATCTCGTAAACTAAGTTTATCAGGAAATAAAATATTTCTGATCCGATAATTTAGTTTTGACAATTAATTAACGATCTGAGACTTTTCTTTTGTAATTGTGTGTGAAATAAATAAAAAATGTGATCATGAAGGAACATGACAAATAAAACAGAAATTTTATAAATTGTCGCCGTCATCGCTATCGCTATCGCTGTTACTTTCTGTAACATTTATTATAAATTGTGTCTGTGATTTTTATTGTCAATTAACATATCTAGCTTAGGTACTCATTTTTCCTTTATTTTGACAACATGGGATACGCATTTAAACCATTCGGTAGCCGTAATTTTTTGAATGCCTTTCTGAACCTGATTCACTGATTGTTTATCGATTTTTGTGTTCATCACTACACTGTTATATGTGGTATCATTATTTCACAAAATGACAGTGGTCAATGTCAAATCAGGAATCGAATTAAAAGTCTGACTATAGATAGGTATCTGTATTGTTACTACATGTTCAAATTAGCTACTCGGCTTTATTTATAGACTAGTAAATAGCTCTAAGTTTATAAGAAGAAATTTTTATACAACAATAAAATTTCTTCTTATTATTACCGACCGCACCCGACCGGTAAATATATTATTCATATGTTATGTTTGGACATAACCATAACATGATTATTTTTTGGAAATATATCAGTACTTTATTTTACAAATTTAGTTTTAAATGTAGGTATATTAATATAATTTAGCACCTAAATATGCAGGTATATTGTTTGTTGCTTGATATTATTACGGAAACAGCAACAAATAGGTAAATTGCACTTATTTGTCGTTTATTTATTATATTGTGGTTTATAGACCGAATGAGGTAAATAATACGAATTTAATATAGTATACTGATAACTAGGTACCTACATATTATTACGTAAGCCATTATGTAAACCGTTGTAAATGCCTACTTACATAGTTACTTATATAAATTAACCATCAGAAAATTGAAAAAAACGAGATTAATCATCATCAAATGGTATAGTATGGTTTGGTGAAACAAATAGGTATTTATTTTAAAAAGAGTAACGATGGAATTTCTTGCTCGTTCTTCTCCATTCGAATCTACAATTTGGAACGAGCACCTAGCTACATTGACGAACAGACTGACAGACTACTTCTCTAAAATTGGACGTTTCAAAAGTAGATACCTTTTATGGTTTACTTGGAATAAATGATTTTGACTTTGACTTTGGTATGGCGAGAGGGAGAGGAAGTGTTAGATACTAACTAAAATGCCCCTGTACCTACTTCTGCTCTAGGCTGAGTTCGTATATGGTACTTTATTGCGCTTAACCCGCGACCTCGACTGAGCACTAACCTATCATTTAAATGCGATTCGAACTTGATTAAGATTTTCAAGTATTCCCATTTTCTAAATCAAATTAGGTTACGGACCTAACTGTAAATTTTATCTATAATCAAAAGAGTCTATTACACATTGTTTAAGGGTCGAGTTATTGTATTACATTTATTATATCTGTTACGGATAATATCAATCTATCAACTCTGCGGGCACGTGCTGGCAATTGTGCCGTGTTTGTGTAGATTATCTACAAGCTACGTCCAGTAGGTAAAATTTGGGACAGAAGTTCTGGAATGTTCATGATTCGAATTTGTTAATTCTTAATAGTGTTTCATACATTCTCGATATAGTTCTACCTATCTAAATTTATCAGAGGATATTATTAAATTTTTTAATGCCCTCTTAAAAATTAATATTCGAGATGAAGAGTGTTTTTTTTTTAGGTAGTAAATCCCAGTCCTGAATATTCAACATTGAACAAAAAATGTTCGTTTAAGATTTTAATACACGAGTAATGAACGAATATCGCCTCCTAGTTAGTTAGAGGGACTCTTTACGAAGTTTACCTTCTAACTATCAAAATTATTTTGTCGTATCTCGTTTCGGTTGTAATCTGCTCGACACCCACATAAATTGTGTCAACGAATGGCGTGCTCCTCATACCATCGATTTTGGTGGTCTATTTTAACGTGTTCGTCGCTCTATCCTATGTGTCAAGTGCTTCTTAAGATACGCCATCCGTATTTTGTTTTTTTTTCTTAGTTTGGAATGAATTGGACTATTTCTATTATTCTATTTCGGTCTCTTTCGGTCTTTACTGTTGAAAGCTTGCTCGTAGCCATAATGAAGACATCTTGAAAGATGAGATGTTTATTGAATGTTATAGGACAAGCATTCAATAAACATCAACATTGATTATATATTTCGGTTCTTACTTAGTTTTAATAATTATTATAAGTATTTAGGTAAACACTGAAATTTGCAGAAAACACGAAACACCGGTACTTAGATACTTAAATAATAAATGACGTCATTGTGGGATTGATGGGTTCACGCCCGTTGTTAACGTTTTCATCCGGCTAATTAGTACTTAAATAAGTAGATAGGTACCTACTTGTAATTTTGGTGAACATAAAAATAGTAGGTTATCAAATATGTACCTATTTCAATATAATAATAGCAAGTTGATCGCTCTACGAAGACAATCTTACACAAGAATAGACACTGATCACAAAATAAAAACAATAAGTACCTTTTTAGAAATATGAAAATATAAAAAAGAACAAGAAAATATAGAAAAGAATAATATGCATGACTGGCATTTATTTACGAAACAGAAAAAAAAATTGACAGCTAAAATAAAAAAAAAGTTTGGCGGGAAATAAAATATGCGCATTTTGTTGATTTTATTTTTATTTTCTATTCAACAGTACAACAGATGCAAAACAAGCTGGTTTGCATCGAACACAATGAGTGTGGTGCGTGCTTGTCTGCAGCAGCGCACTGCCGATGGTGTGCCGACATCAACTATAATTCTGGAGCACCAAGATGCAATGATGACGAGAGGTAAGCGTCTGAGAGAAAATGCGAAATTAAGTGTGTATGTTATGAGCATTATAATTGGATCTACAGAGGAGGTACAAACCTTATAAACGTTCGCTTAACTTTAGTTCTTTGGCAACGACTAGGTACATGAATTTGTAAGTAAGTAGTTATGTACATATAGTACAGTACAGTATAGGGATCTTGAAGAATAATATTTTTTAGATGCGGTTAATTATTTACTACTTATTTCATAATAACCCTTCTGTCATCTATAAGTTAACATTCATTTGGTTAGGTATTAGCACGGGTATTAGACATAGCTATTCTCGCTCGGTTTACCCGCTGCTCAGCTCCATTTGATCGCAGCGTGATGTTTTATAGCCTATAGCACTCAGGAACATTGTAGCTATCGATCAGTGAAAGAATTTTGGCAATCAAAACAGCGGTTCCAAAGATTACCCCCTAAATACATCCCGAGCGTACGGCGCGTAGCGTTCCGCGCGCGCCTCAAAGAGCCATTAGACCACCACAGATGGGGCCCTAAAGGACTGTTCAGCCGGGGTTGCGGGGTAAGCGCAATGAGGCACCGCGACCTCGGCCCAGAGCAGGAGAAGGAACAGGGGGGTTTTTAGTCAGTAAGAGTCTGACACTTCCTCCAGCCCGGCCCTGGGCGGGAGAAGTCATTTGATGATTTTCCCCTCACAAAAAAAAACCCCTAAATACATACTTACAAACATACAAACTTACAAATTTTACCTCTTTATAATATTAGTATAGATAAACTTTGTTAAGATTTTGACATAAACTTCGTACAAGTAACATCTAAAAATATTGTTGTATTTTCGTATTTATACTTTGATATGTAAAGCTAACTACCTATTACTAGTCGTAGATACTTAGTAATAATATGTTAATATTTATTTAAAGGTTAAACATGTGTCTATAATTTACTTCTAGATAAAATTTACGTTCTTTTTGCTTCACACCATAAGATACGATTGCGTGATTAAAGTGACAACATGAGTTGTGTTTTATTGCGATTAACTATCATAAGTTACTTAGCTGGTGTAAAGTAAGAACCGGCTGTAACTGTCATAACAGTTCTTAGGTCGCGTTAGGAGGCAAATGACATTAATAACAATAAATATTAACCAACAGATAATTAATAATAATCATGTATTTCAAGGAAAAGCAAGACTTACCTATGTGTTTACGATGTTGTAATGCTATATAACCATCTGAGCAAATTATTTAGCACTAGGCGATTAGTTAATGGTCAACACTGAGTCTTATTTGGGCACTAGCTACCCTTGCGCGGTTTCACCCGCTGCTCAGCTCCTTGAGATCGTATAAATCGATAAATCGACTAACAAACACAAAAATACATAATTGTTAAAATGGAACCAGTAGTTCCAGATATTAGTGCGTTCAAACCACCAACCACAGCTTTATGATATTAGTTTTTTATTAACGTGTATCTTTAGTAATCTCCTTTGTCCATTAAGTACCGTATTTAGCAGCATCACCAAAAAAGGTTGTCACTAAGAATTCGATGTATTCAATGTGCGTTTCGATAATTAAGCCTTAACTAGGTATTTAGAGAGAATGCCCATCACAATAATAAGGGATCATCATCTAGTTATCTCGCGTAGATCTAGGCAGTTAAGCGACGCCCACGACACACGGTAATTGGATGGGGTATCGTTGGAGTAAGGTCGGTTGTTACCGTCCTTGATGTGCGTGAAAATATTTGTTACATTGCGATTCTGAATGATGGCAAGGTTTTGGTGAAGTGTGGGATAATTCGGATGACAATGATGCTAACCACTTGTACTTGGGTGGTACTAAAATTTTGGGGACTATTATTCCATGGAGTGATTAATGAAATTCCTTATTTATTTGCGACACTAAACAAATACTTGCCCTCGCGTTAAGCAGATCATAAGCAGCTTTACATCTTTCAATTGCATCAGTAGTACATCCTAAAATGCTTAAATGATTGTTTGTAGAGAAATACAATAGAACATAATTGACTTCAATTCGTGATTCTGTTGGTGGTGGCTGTCCAACAATAATTCTTCACAGTCACACTATAGCTTCAGGCTTCTGTCAGATTTCAAAGCAATTAAATAGTTCCGCTTTATTTCGCTCAATCAATTAGTTACCGCGACCGCAGCGCAAGCGCATTCCTCGTGCTTAGGTACTGTTCCCACGTTCACTGACCGATATTTGGGCATTGGCTCCCCAACTAATCAAGAGATCGTTGTTTGATAGATTATTTATTGTGTTGAGAACGAATGGACGGTTTCCAATGCATTGGTACTTTAATACTTAGCAGATAAAAGTGGGTAACGATTAAAGTGCTCGAGTGTACGCTGCTACGTGCTTATTAAAAGATTAGTTGTTTGTTTTGATACTTTGTGCACTGTAACTTCGACCTACGGACCGTTATTTAATTCATTCGATTACGTGTAAAGGAAATATACCAATCGACTCGTTCCATTTTAATAACGCCTGCGGAAATGTGTTGCATTTAATTGGATTTTTATTAAGTGCATTCATATTTTACGATTCTATTTGAAATAAGGTGTTAATTTGTTTAGGAAATCTGCCAATTTGGTTTAATTAATGCAACTGTGATTTAATAAATTAGTCATTTTTGGAGTTTTGGTGTCTTCTGTTGTTTAATATATCCTGGTTTTAATGTACTATATTATTTTTTCCCATCAGTCTGGTGAACACCGGCTGCAGTCAGGGTTTAATACAGCGGCCTGAGAAGTCAGTATGGGAGGTTGTAGAGAACAGTTCGCTGCAGGACATGACACCCAACAGCAAAGAAAATGTAGTACAAATACAACCACAGAAGATTCATTTGTCTTTGAAACCACGTAAGTATTTATTTAAATTACAGATATTACACAAATTCCTTCTGATTCAATTCATTCTTGAAACATTTTGTTAAGACATAATGTGGAATTTTATGGTTTTCAGGGGAGACGAAAAAGATTCAGTTTTCTTATAGACCTGCCAAAAATTACCCTCTAGATTTATATTATTTGATGGATCTCACTTGGTCTATGAAGGATGACAAGGAAACGCTGGTGTCTCTAAGGGATGATCTACCGGCCTTATTGAAGAATCTTACTGATAATTTTAGGTGAGTCAATATAAAAGAACAGAATATGGCAGTGAATAACTAAGATTTTTCTTAACCTTTCAATCGTGGTAATTCTAGACACAATGGAAGAACAATATGCGCGAGAACCACGGCTTTCGCTTGGGATTTGATGAATTAAACAAATGATCAAAAGCACAATTAACTACCGAGGCATTACCTAGTGGCCCGAAAGTCGTGGTATCTCGAAGTTTAAGACATTTACTTCTAATAAACGATGGTGCGGGTTCGAAACTTGACAATGTGTCTTTTTCCGAATTACATATACTCTCCGACTAATCCAGATAATTGATTTAGGAAATCATCGTGCGGAAACCTGGGCTTGTAATTACTAATTTTACTATTGATATCTCACCTTGCCTTAAGCAAGCGTGGCGAATAATGTTCAGACCTTCACCGTGCAAGACCCTTAATCAGCAATAGGCTCTTATGATGATGAATGATGATACAAATTAATGCTGAAGTTAAATTCTAGGTTAGGTTTCGGTAGTTTTGCTGAGAAGCCTCTTATGCCGTTCATAAGTACGGACGCAAGGAGACGAGCAAATCCCTGCTCCATGGAAGAAGAAGCTTGCGAAGCTACTTACAGCTATAAACATCACCTGTCTTTAACTAATCAGGTAATATAGACTAGTATATGAGACCATGTGCATGTAGGATATCGTTTTATTGAAAAAGGAAATCCTCTATACTCTTTTTCCAAGTTAAGTAGCTCGTAAACAGATAAGGTTGATTTGTAAGCTGTGGAAAAAGACGGTGTTGCTTGCTACCAATCTTGTTCGGTTAGTTCAAGTTCTCTCAATTGATATAGTGATAAAGTTTACATAATAAATACGTGTACAAAGTAAAGGTTTTAATATCGATTCTAAAGTTATTCAAAGCTAATCTCATATCGACTATCGTGAGTCATAGATTTTTTTTAAAAATTACGATTTATTCACGTGAATTTATCAAGAAAACCTCTATCAGTTTCAACAGGACTCTTATTCATTAACAGCGTGTGCGTTGCGGCATAATATAGATATATTACTATCGACTCTATGTGATACGAAATATGGTTTATTCCTAGGTAAACGAGTTTATAGAACACGTAAACAGTAGTTCAGTTACTGCAAATTTGGATAACGCTGAAGCCCAACTGGATGCACTAGTCCAAGTGATAGCGTGTGGGGATAAGATCGGATGGGCTGAACATAGCAGAAAAATTATCATACTGCTTTCCGATGGACTCATGCACACAGCTGGAGATGGGAAACTTGGTAATGTATAATTAATTATGTAATACGTTTGATAAGATAGATAAAGTTATAAGTTTCTCCAAAGAGGTCTGCTTTAAGATAACTTTAGTGTTGTAATTAGTTATGAAAAGTTAAGCCTAGTTTCAAGATGACTTGAGTTTAATTGTTTAGACTTTGATAAAAATTTGGGCCAATTTCTTTGTAACGAGCGAGATAATCAACTTGGCGCAAAAATGTTTTATGATTAAGTATTTCCAAATAATTATGTGTCAATGCATAGTCATTTCCAATATCGACAATACTCTGAGTATTGTGTACCTAAATGGAATCATCATATTATTAAAAGCAAAAATCTATTCTATTCTATTTGTTTCTTTTTTATGTAATAGGTCGGCAAACGAGCAGACGGATTACCTGATGGTAAGCAATCAGCGCCGCAACCCGCAACGGACGAGTTACGAGTGCGTTGCCGACCTTTTAGGGATTCGTGATTTGGAGATTTAGGGATTGAGTAGGGATTAGGGGAGGAGAAGGATTGGGCCTCTGATAAACTCACTCATACGGCGAAACACAACGCTGTAGTTGTTTCACGCCAGTTTTCTGTGAGGCCGTGGTATCACTCCGGTCGAGCCGACCCATTCGTGCCGAAGCATATTTGTGAAAGTTTTATTCAAACTATACTTTTTAATAAATTCATTCAACAATCACACTACCTATATCTGTAGTATCATTTGACAATAATCAATTTAAAAACAACAAAACAGTTACGTGAAAGTTGATATCACTTGTATCAGTAACAGAATGCGTATGTGTAATACACACAAGTAAATACGATAATAAATAATATTTAGAATCAGATTCATCTGATAATGAAGACAAATCCGTTAAAGGTGGCGCGACTAAGAAGAATGATGATCAATGTCATTTGGACGACAAAGGGTACTATTCTGATGCGGCTACATATGACTATCCCTCTATAGCGCAGTTGTATAGACTTTTGGAGAAGTACAAGGTAGGTGCTATCTAGTGTTATTTGAACATTTTTGTACCCTACTTTGATGGGCTAGATGATATTGACAATTATTTATACTAGTGATTCAACTACAGTTATGATTATCTAAATGTTAATTATTGGTTCATTGTAAACATTTAAATGGGTAGAATATATTTTTGAAAATTATTGAATCCAGTTCATCGGTAAGTATATTTTTATTTGATAAATAATGGACATAGATTTTGTCCCTAAATTTAAAACTAGAACTGTTTATTTTTTATTGTCGCCTGTATGGCTTTATGTATTTTGGCCTCTTAGTTTTTGCGATTATAATTATTATTAAGACTTTTTTTACCTTAACAGCTGATTCATTTGTAACGACTTATTCATGTGATCAATGTTTTTAATAAAAATATATATTTTTTTTTATTTATTCCAATTTCTTAATTTCAAGTATCTTTTTAAATTTCTACATACATATAAATGTTGAGTTTACTTTCTGGAATGCCATGCGTGGATTATGTCTACGTTATCGCAATTTTACGAGTTTGCTAATGAAGCTGTATCATCTAAGTCCATCGTTAATTATCAAGTTGCACGAAGATATCCTAATCACACATCCCATAAACTTGGGACGGTGGTAAATATTTAACGATTCCGGTGATTTTCAGGTTAACGTAATTTTCGCTGTGACGGAAAGCGTTAAGGATCACTACGATAGCTTAAATCAACTGCTAGAAGACTTTACTTACGTAGCTAAGCTAGAAAGTGACAGTTCAAATATTCTGAAACTAGTTAAAACTGGTTACGAAGACATTGTAAGTGTAGTGGACTTCCACGATGATTCCAATCTGGGCCCAGTGAAAATTAGGTACTTTACGGATTGCGGTGTGGAAGGAGGTCCTTTGAAAGAGGAAACAAGATGCACTGGAGTGGAATTTGGAATGACGCTACGTTATGAGGCTCACGTCACTTTGGAGTCTTGTCCTGAATATAAATCTGTAAGTAGGAAACAAAATAATCATCAGATATTTTAACTGTCTTACGTAAAATTATTCTTAATAATAAACTCTCTTGTCTTTTTTGTCTAGTCTACGCAAAGAATTCGCATCTCAGAATCCCAGCTAGGACAGGATGCTCTGACCTTGGAGGTGGACATTCAGTGCGGATGTGCATGCAGTGAAGCTGTACAAGAGAACATGTCGCCAATGTGTCCAGTTAATGCTCACTTCGTTTGTGGAGTATGCCAATGCAACAAAGGATGGTAAGTGTATGTGTGTATGGTTACGAATAAATGAGTATTTAGAACAAAAAAAAAATTATCATTTAAAAAAAATATAACAAAAGATGGTTTATTGCCAACACATGTTTGAGTATCTACAATTTGATTGAATCACTTAGGTTCACTGACGAACAGACTAACAGACTGCTATTCTATTTAGAATTTTCAAAAGTACCTATTTATGATTTAGTTTGAATAAATGACTTTGACTTAGTTTTGATTCGTAATTTTCCTACAGAAATGACACAAATGTTTCGATGTATTTCTGTTTGTCACAATGCGTCGTAATTAGGTACCTACGTATTTTTCTTTGTCACAATGCGTCGTCATGATCCATAAGACCCACAAAAGGGGTTTCACAATGTGTTTGTTCGCATGTCAAAGCTTACTTGCCGTGTGAATTGAGTTTCTGAAATCTTTATTAGATTTGATTTTATCGTCTAGTGTTTCAACTTATCCTTGTTACGCGAAGACATACTTAAGTTTAGTGTGACATTCTCTTTATTTTGCAATAGCTTCAAAATCATAAAGTCGACATTTGACGAAGTCGTTTTTGAAATTGGAACTTCAGAATCGACTTCGTCTTTTAATATTTTTGTCTTTATGTGGTTTAATCGAAGTGCACATTCATCTATTTGCTGTTACTTTATGCTGCGGTAGACTAGGTCTTTTCGCAAATAATGTGTTCTGTCAATTCGCACCTTGTCGATATTTGTCTACCAATAAAGCTCAGTCGTGATCTATTCCAGGAACTAGGGTAGCTACTGGCTTACTTCCTACATGAGAGTACACACGTGTTCTTAGTATTGTGAACTCCTGATTAGTATGTCTTGCACTAACACTAACGGTTCAATCAAAAACCGTTAATGCAATTAAGGTTCGAATTATAATATTCAAAAGAAAGGTTGGAATGAATTATGGATCAAGTGTCTTTGGAGCATAATTTGTTAACGAATGCTTAATTTGGTGATGATTTTGGGTATATCCTGAGAATGGGACACGTAGTTAATCAAATTGTTTGTCTTCCTTTTTCTTTTTTTCATTCAAATTCGACGAATTGCAATCGGTGCCACCCATGGACACCCGTAACACCTAAGGAGTTATGAGTGCGTTGCCAACCTTTTGCGGATAAGGGTTTCGGATATTTAAGGATTGAGAAGGGATGGGGAGAGGAGGAGGGATTGGGTTTCCGGTAACATCACTCACACAGCGAAACACGAAAATGTGGTTGTTTGACGCTGGTTTTCTGTGAAGCCGTGGTATCACTCCGGCCGAGCCGACCCATTCGTGCCGAGGCTTGGCTTTCCCACACTATCTTTCTTATAAGTTAGAAAAATAATCACGAATGTAACGTTAGAGCGTTTCAGGCTTAAGAATCAACTCTCAATTCCCAGGTCTGGTCCAAACTGTGACTGCGCGATAGGAGATGAGAATGCCTCAGCGGAACTGTTGGCGCAGTGTCGAGAACCGAACGCGACCCGTGCCCTCACCTGCTCTGGTGCTGGCGACTGTCTCTGCGGAGAGTGTGACTGTGACATAGGTTTCACTGGAAGATACTGCCAGTGTAAACTGTGTGAAGTTAGCCTGTAAGTATAATGTGTTGACTTATGTTTTTATTACAATTTGGTTTTTGAAGTTCGTCAAAAAATCAACAGTTGTTGATGACTTCTCTACATCTGCACAGTAGTTTCCTAGGTCAAAAATAAATTATTTTGACTTTTTAATAAGTACAATAAATTATTTAAATATCAAAGGTACATTATAATTTTAGATTTTTTGTAGTAAACTACCTTTGAAATAAAAGTATGCCTTTTGACGTAAAAACATTATGACGGCGTAATTATGTTGCGACATTACACTAAATTTATAAAAAAAATATGAGATTCAATAAAAGTATTGAATTTGGGTATGATATCTATGGGAATTTATTACTTTGTAAACATAACCACGCGATACCGGAAAAAATCTAATGTGGAGGAAAAGGATTTCTGAAGAATACATAAAATAAAACATCAGAACAGAACTCCAAGAATAGATTAATTTGCCTTGACTTTAATCTAGCACCGAGAATTCAATAAATTGTAGCGTTTTTGTCGTCAAAAGTGTACGTTTTAAGTGTCCATCGATGCTAACCAGACACATTACGTCGTGAGGTATGGAGAGCATGAGTAAATACTCTTTACGTGTCGTTAGGTACCGGCTGCCGATACTTGGAGTATTTCTGGATATGCGGAATGTGTTTACTTGTCTCTTTTAGAATAGGCGCGTTACTTCCTACTGATGTTTAATGGTCTGGTTAATGTGCCTCAACGAAATAACTGCTTATGCTGTTATGCAAATAAATAAATCTCCAAGCGCCTCGACTCAGTTTGTTTTGTTTTGACTTTTACGAGTAACTTAAATATAAACGTCTTTTTATGAGTTTGCTTAGAACTATGATTTAGATTTTAGTATTTGCATACTTATTTTTTTTACGGTATAGGTTGGAAAACCGGAGCAGCCGGATTACCTGATGGTAAGCAATCAGCGCCGCCCATAGACACCTATCCTTTTAGGGATAAGGGATCCGAATATTTAAGGATTAGGAAGAGATAGGGGGAGGGGCAGGGTTTAGGCTTCCGGTAACCTAACAGCGATACACAACGCTGTGGTTGTTTCACGACGGTTTTCTGGGAGGCCGTGGTATCACTTCGGTCGAGCTGAACCATTCGTGCCGAAGCAGTTTTCCAACTAAGAATTTTGACAATGATCATTATGAATCTGTACCGATTTGACTTGCAAGATGTTTTATCAAATTTTTTCATTATTGTTTTTCAAAATCTTAATTCGTATGTCAAACGTTTCCAGTGAGAATGGCCTCGAGTGCGGCGGAGTGGGTCGCGGCGTGTGCGCATGCGGCGAGTGCGCGTGCGCGGCGGGGTGGAGCGGGCCGGCCTGCGACTGCACCAACAGCACCAACACTTGCGTCTCGCCCGCCGGTGGCGACATCTGCTCGGGCCACGGGGAATGTGTTTGTGGTCAGTATACAACAAAATCACACTTGATAAGTAATAAGTCATGATGGCCTGGAGCCTAAAGGCCCTGCTCCTCATGGATGAGGGTGCGGATTCGACACCTGGCAAATTCCAATGTGATTTTTTATGTATTTTCTATGATTATTTAGACACCACTGATATACGGTGAAGGAAAACATCTTGAGGAAATCTTGACTTTATAATTTCTATCTATAACTTCGAAGTCGCCAATCCGCTTTGAGCAACCGCGGTGGTAAATGTTCAAACCTTCTCTGTGTGAGAAGAGGCTTTTGCTTAATAGTGGGCAATTATAGGCTGATGATGTGCTGTGTGCTTAAGAACATTTTACGTCCTTAGTCAAATTATTTATTTACTGACTAAAGGCTGACCTTGAGATCGGAGAAAAGAATGTGTTAGTTAACAGTTAACTCGGCGATAGACGCTTCTAAGAAACCAAATAGAAATATTTGGATAATGTAATTCCACAGTGGAACAACAACAACATAACAGAGACCTGTCGAGGTCGCGACCTCTTGAATAGTCAAAGAAACAAATTTTTATATGAGCATCTGTTTACATTTTTCGAATGTAAAAGGTTTGCCTACATATCTGATAAGGGTCAGGTGAAAGTGAATGTGGGTACTTCGAAATACCTATATGATGGAATGGGCACAGTTTAGCCCAAGTAGGTTTTATTTTGTTTTGATTCGAGAATTAAAAATAAAAAGATATGAGAAATTGTCATAACGTGTGTATTTATTGCTTTTGTTTAAAGTTTGTTTGAGTAAAACAGATTGACCTTTTTATCATCGTAGCCATGAGTAAACTGAGTCCTTATGAGATCAGGCTTGATCATTATATGGTTCTGTATTGTTTTCTAAAAGTTTCAAACTGTAATCTATCTCTGTACCAAAATATTGTCCAAATTGGCTCTGTGCAATAAAGAATATCTGAATGCACGATAATTAATGGTCTATTTTATTATACATATAAGTTGCCAATATTTTTTTAACACGGACTATCTGTATTCCAAAATGTATATTTAATGGTATATTAGGTACGCGACTACTATCTAATGTTGATGTAATGAATGGATGAATAAATTCGTTACTACGGTTAAATTACAATCTCAAAATATGATTTCTTTTGGAGATATAACTATTCTGCAGCTAGTCTACTATCAGAATAAAACCGTATAGATGTTTACTAATGTTAGAGACTACAATACATAATTTTCCGATGCTCTTGGCTCCAGGGTCGACACCGAAGGAACGTAAAGCAATGCCTTTTCATTCAGATCCCCTCAGTAGATACTTTTCTTTTGAAAGAGTTTATAATATTAGTAGGATTAAACTACTAACGATAAAATGAAGATCTAAAAGACAATGACCAAATATTATATTTTCCTTTAATCCAAAAACTAGTACGAGCACACATAATAATGTACCTACAGGTAGATGCGAGTGTTCAGTAGCAAGTGAGAGTGGGGCGAAGTACTGGGGCCAGTACTGCGAGTCGTGCGCGTCGTGCGACAACCCGCTGTGTGCGCACGCCGAGCCGTGCGTCGCCTGCCGCCTGCGCCGGAACTGCTCCGCCGACCTCTGCGCCGTCGGGGACGTCAACTACACCGTCACTGAACTCATCACTGATCTACGTAAGTATCCTTTCGCTTCTTTTATTTTCATCTTTTTTCCATAGCCTAGGTCGGAAAATGAGTCAGGATTACCTGATGGTAAGTAATCAGCCACTCGCATATCCAAAATATTATAAGTGCGTTGCCAGCTTCTAGTGGGTTCCGGCGTTGCGGGGCAAGCGCAATGTAGCACCACAGCCTGGGCCTAAAGCAGGAGCAGTAACGTGGGGTTTTTAATGAGTAAGAGTGTAACACTCTCTCTAGCCATTCCCTGGGCGGGAGAAGTCATTCGATGACTTTCCCCTGACAAGAAAAAAATCTAGTGGGTTATTAAAGATTTACGGATTAGGAATTTGAGGATTGAGGATTGATTTTTACTTTACGCTGGTATTCTGTGAGACCGTGGTATCACTTTGGTGGAGCCGGCCCTTACGTGCCAAACCATGGCTCCCACACTTATGAATAGGCCCACCTTTATCGTGTGTTTTGTTAACAAACAGCTTGCGAACAATGACCTGAAAAACCTGAAAAAGTTGTTTGAACATAATATATCTATTATTAGTATTCATTATCATAATACCTTTATTAGGGGTCCACTCCGTTTTCGCACGTTTACAATGTTGATATTAAATTTTGCCACTATTTAATTAATTTTCCCACACATTTTCACGTTTTGCCCATATTCTCTATATTTCTAGGTGTATGTATTGTTTTATTAGTTATCGTTTCGTCCTTTCCTCTTTTGGTTATTTCCTCTGCCTCATTTTTATCTCTAACTTTATGTCTGTGTTTTCGAAATATTTTAAAACCAATCCAGTTTTAGTATAAAACCATAATATTTCACTAACAATTAACATTAAGACTATTCTTTTCTTAATTAGGAGTTTCGTTTGAGTTTTGTAAAGTTCCCCTTCCTAAGTTTCTCTCACTTCTCTACCATCTTAAACAGATTACATATTAGTATCTAGGGTCAAGCTGACATTAGTATAAGTAGTTGTAGAAAGTAACCCGTTAGTAAGTTAATGTAGCGAAGTACCAGACATTAAAATGTGGTTAAGATTACTCTTGAAGATGTTAAAAACAGTAGTTGTTTCCATTTAAGCGGTTGTGGTTTGCGGTTCAGTAATGCTAATTTGTTTATGATTGAGATGGGACTATTAACGTCGAAAGCGTTATAAACTTCGCTATAAAATTTGCCTTGAGTACCTAGGTGCCATGTGCTTAATTCAAGTTGGTAATTAATACCTTGGGTTGCGAGGTAAGTGCAATGTGCACCTCGGCCTAGGCCTAAAACAGGAGAAGGAACGGGAGATTTTTAGTCAGTGAGAGTCTGACACTTTCTCTCGCCTTATTTTGGGAGAAGTCATTTGATGATTTTCCCCTGACCAAAAAAGTAGGTACGTACTCCTGCAAAAAATCTTTAGCCACCAAGCATTGATATCTGTATAAAACCACAGTATTAATTATTTTCATATTTCTTGCTACAGAAACCGATGACTTAACAACATGTATCCTTCGCCTGGAAGAGGACGACCTGGAATGCGAGTACAAATACACGTATTCTTCCAATCCATCATCAGGGGTCGAAATTACTATTGGGGGCAAAGAGTGCTATCGTCCTACAAGCGCCAAGATCATGACTAGCGCTGTAGTAATAATGGGTTGCGTTATAGCTGCGGGTTTAATAGTTATACTGTTCATAAAGTGTGGGCAGATCATGTCTGATAGAAGGGCTTACGCGAAATTCGTCAAAGAAGCACAAGAAAGCAGGAAAAACATGCAAGAATTAAATCCTTTGTACATTTCTCCTATTTCAGAGTTCAAATTGCCTGATTCGTTTCCTAGAGACAAGAATGATTAAGCTCTTTTAGGTACGTAAGTGTTTATTTTTGTACTTACTTTTTAAAATCGTTTTTAATAGCACTATCGTTGCAATAAACGTTGACAGCGCCTCTGGTGGTGAAAAAGTGAACCAGTCTTGTATGTATGTGTACTTATGTTTGTTTTTGGCGTATTATGTATAGATAGTACAGGTAGTTTATTTTATGATGATATGTATGTTGTATGTAATTCAGTGTCTTACTATACGAATTTAAGCTTTATTGTCACATAGACAAGCTTTGTAGAAAGTATGCTATTTATCATTTTTTTAAATACATAATAATTACAGTACAAATTATTTGTATTTTATAAAATTTACTTACTACATTTAGGGGATAAAACGTTATTTTTTTAAAGTTGTAACCATTTGTGCCTTTTAAGTTCAAACATTTTAATACGTATGTGGTTTGTGCTGTACATCAATACAGACTTCATTATTTTCTTGTATTCCATCCTTAGTCTTCATTACAATTGATGTACAATGTCCTTCTAATGTTTTTATATTCTAAGCAAAAAAACTGTTTTGAGAGATTGATTTTATCTCTTTACGTACAGGATGTACCTATCGTAGAGAGGTAGTGGCCTAAATAGTGGTCCAGAATTTTCTTGTTTTCTCGGTCAAAAATAAATTCATTCAAGACAATTAGACATTCAATAAAAATCGCACTTCATTGACGGATTTGACGATACACTTACCTATTCAATTTTAGATTTTTATAGGTTACATTTGAAGAAAAACCTTAAAATATAATGACGTCACATTTCTGTTTTCCATACCAAACGATATAGAACAGTTTCGTTTTTGACTTTTGAATTAAATTATTGAATTTGACTGGTTGACAAATAACGTATTAGGGTTTGATTTAGCCAGAGTTCAGGGTCAAGCGCAACAATGTACCGAGGCTCTGGCCTGCCGCAGGAGAAGTAACGGGATGGTTTTTAGTCAAAAGGAGTCTGACACTCTCTTTCGCTCCATCCAGGGCAAGGGAAGTGATTGATGATTTTCCCCTTGCAAAAGACTGGCTTACACAATATTTTCAGATTTTTTTTTATAGGTGGTTAGGTACAACTTTAAAATTATTTTACTCATTTCCCGGTATAGCATTTTAGTATGTTATAGATACATAATTTTTGATCCACCTTTTTAGTCTGGACTACTATTTGCAAACCAACCAAAAAAAAACCAGCAAAAATTTATGTATGTGCATAGGTTCTGTATTGAAAATGTACTTACTAGATTTTTTTCTACTTTTAGTAGTAGGTACTACGTACTTTGATTACTTAGGTACTAGAATTGTAAGAATTTTACTAGTCTTGCAGCGTTGCATTTTATGCCTTCATAATAATATTTTTATTGCTTACGTTAATTTGGTAAATTAAGTTTTTATTTACCGATTAAGCATTAATTCAAATACTTATATTTATAGTTCTGTGAGAAATCGCAATTTACTTGTTTGTATTGTTTTAAGTTGCACATTTTTTTTGCACATTATTTTAATAATATTATTATTCTTATAGTTCGAATTCCATGTCCATGTTCGAATTGAATGTGTTGAATGTTAAAATTAAAATATTTTTGCCAAGATACGAGTTCATCAACAATACAATATAAATAAATGTAGCCTTCGTGCCTTTTACGTATGGATCACATCACAAATCAATATTATGTTCTAAAAGTATTTAAAAATGTTATTCGTTATCTATGTACCTATTTAATTGTATGACAAAAAATGTTGAACTAAAATAAGTTCCTAAAAATAACTTGTTTTCGTCTAAAAAAATGTTTTTCTAAAATTTTGTAAATAACTAAACCAAAAATAAAATTCTCGTTAACATTTTCATGGTTTTATTATTTTCGACGCATCCATATAAATTAACATTTTTTACAGATTTTAGTTTTTTTTGTTTAGATCAAAATGAGTACAATTGAATGCATTTCACTTCCACCACAGCGAGATTTGTAAAAAATAAATGGGTATATACAACATGTCTTTGCGTTCAGAGTAAATTAGACCATATTTTATTCACAACGAAGGTTTAAAATCATTGTTAGAATGTTTTTAGTTCTAGGCCCTTTTTCAGGCGTATTCCATCATACATGAGAACAAAATTAAGTTCCTAATATCTATTAACAAAGTCAAAGTCAAAATCATTTAACAACAACATAAACGGCTACTTTTGAAACGGCAAAATAGAATATAGTCTGCCAGTGGGTTCGTCAGTGAACCTAGGTGCTATAATCTAGTCATTAAAGTGAAAGTAAAATCTTGAAAGTCCAAGTCTTGTAATAAGTTAATAAATTATTTTATCGTTCAGCCAGAATAAAAATTAGGTATCGATTTACTATTTAGCACAGGTTTAATAAAGTAAGCCCTAATACTCACACCGCTATGCGAAAACTGGAAGAGGCCTTCCGCTAAAATAATTCAAGGGTTTATTGAAATGTGGGTCTAATTTACCCTAACACTGTTGCATGAAAGACTAAATCATACATAACTAAATATATTTACATAATCTTAGCTTTACAATGTCACCCCACTCCGTTATTTTGCTTAAACATAAATTATAAAAAACTTAATTTATAAGAGGTATACTTGTAAGTACAGGATGCATTTTCACAATATTTATACACAATTTTGAAGTAACATTTTAATATAAATTTCGTATTATAGCAAACCAGTTTATAACAACTAATATTAAGTAGCTGTATAAAATTCCTTAATCTTATTCATAAAATCACATCCAGAATTATCTTATTATAATACCTTAGTTTGACTAAGTACCACAGGTTTCCATACACAACTAATTCTTATAAAAATAATACATAATTGTATATACATATGTTGTATGTGCATAATTATTAAGTTCCAAATAACATTTGTAAGTAGCTGGAGGAAGTTTATTTGTGGTTTTTTATATAATGTCTTACGTTACAACAATTTACAGCATATGAAATACCCTTACTGTTGAAGTAAAGAGGTTGTGATTCCATTCCAGAGAAAACCATATATTTCATATATAAAAAAAACAGACGGCAGCCATTACTTTTTTTCATGTGTGCTAGTAAAAATTAAATTTATTTTCTGCTACACACGATGTTCTGTCTATTCGGCCATTAGAAAATTTTCATCAAATAAAGTAAAAATAAGTAAATGCACAATTTTGATATTTGTATGTTTTAAATTTTCTTGTAATTACATGTTAAGAGCAAGTTGTACACATATAATTACAGTATTTTTAATTTTTCTGTTGTTATATCAACAAAACTTTCTATTTTCGCCAAACACCCTAAAAATATTGTTACAATTATGCAGTTATGCCAATCAAGATTTCCTTATATGATCCGATCAATACGCCTATCCAGCTTTTGGATAAGGTACTGATTAAGTTTGTACTAAAACCGAATATAATTGTTGGTCATTAGATCAGCTACATACAAAATCTCAAGCTTTATTGTATCTCTACAATACATTTTGTTTCAAAAAAATTCGTTCAACATATAATTTTCAAACGATTTTTATACATACTATAAGGCCCCGTTGATTTCAATTTACTATAAAAGGCAATACAGCAGTCAAAGATTATACACATGCTTTGCTGAACATTGTGTCAACAAATCCTAATATAAGTAATAGTACGTTGTACATGTAATCTCATATCAACTAGCCGTAACTGTTAACCTGTTTTTGTTTAACAAAGAAGCACAAAAGGCTTGGCCAAACGGTTTATTTTCAAATTCTCAAGTGACTAAGCACTTTGTATTGTTTGAAAATGAATTAAATGAGACATTTTGCTATTTCGTTAAATATGAATATTCATTGAGTCTCGGCCAAACCTTTCGTCTGATTCTAGTCTTGCTACAACAGTGCTTGGTGACGTCACACCTGTCGGTCGTGTCGTGCGGGAGGCATCACAGTCATAGGTCCAGGAGCGCCATGCTTCGCTTCCAGCTGAACCGGCTTAGCAGGTACTTTGGCATCAGTCGTTGGACGTGTTGGGTGTATTGGCACTGGTACTGCATCGGGAACTAATTTTCGGATCAACTCTGACATACACGGCCAAGGAACCAACCTGGAATTATAAAGATTTAAATGTAAATTTAATGTAAACGATCAAGTTAGATATAAGTACAGTAGGTACTTAACATGCAAAATTAGTGTTATAACCGAGCGTTTTATGTAAATTATTGTTAAACTTGACAACATTGTAAGAGATTTGCCTCCGATTTCAGCAGAACAACAAAGAAATTGAACAAAGAATAAAACTGATATTGATATTGTCACGTTATTACATCACGTAATCAGATGATACAAGTCACGGTTGACCGATGCAGTAGTTACGAAGATCGTGTCATATATCATACAAGATGGTTGTGTCATATTATGAAGTATCATAATACTTACAGCTTGAAAGGCAGCAAGACGCGGAAGAAACCAGGAATGAGGGCGAAGGGTTCGTCAGTACGAATGGCCAACACCACTCGGTCTGCCACGTCGTTGGAGTTCAGTTGAGGAACAAATCTGTAAATGGTCATTGTTTTACATTATTAAGGTGGTTTTATAATGAGTTTAGTAATTCAGTAGGTCAGGCATTGATTGTTTTGTATGGTAAAGCCATTTCAGTTCAATTTGTTAATCTTATTTTATGAGAAATCGGATCATAATATATAACAATCTTACCGAGAATTGACCTCTTCAAACATGCCCGTAGAACGAATAAAGTATGGGCATATTAGAGAGGTTTTGACTCCAGTATAGCCTTGCGTTTCCAGTTCCAATCGTAGGGCTTCATCGAAGCCGCAAGCAGCGGCCTTAGACGAACAATAGTCTACCAGCTTGGCGACACCGACGTGACCGGCCATTGAAGCAATGGTCACTATGTGCCCACTATTGTGTTCCATCATTGCTGGCAAGAAAGCTTTCACAGTCTGTGGAAGAGAAACAAATAAAATTCAGGATCAAAAAGACAATAACAATATTACGTGCAATGTATAGACACTGCATCGTTTAACGCATTGGATTGATTTGCATAAATTACTCATATTGCTAGGTTTACGACTTGTACCTAGTTACTTCGACCTTAAACTAGTTTTGGTGCAATTTTAGTTTGGTTACCTTGGATGCCTAACGGGTAATGCAAGCAACTTATAGTACGAATAAAATAGCTATAGTGGTGTGCCTCAAGGTTACATATTGGGTTCAATTAATTTATTTGTGATAAGTTTGAAAAATTTGGTTTTTAATACTGGTTACTTATACATAGAATGGTTATTCAATGTTAATTAATTACTAAATCAATCTTCCGATGATGCTCAATGAATCCTTTTCCTCATCATCGATCACCCGTCAAATATGATTTAACTATGGGTACATTATGTTCAGTCTTAATAAATTATTGTTATTTATCGTATTAGGACGTTATGCAAAAATATGCTAAAATTCGTTTTCGCGGCTGCCAAAAGCAAATTAATTTATCCTGTTTAAAAATTATGTTTCCTTTCGCAAAGTGTTATTCGTTAAAGGCTGTAATTACGATGTTATTTTTTTGATAATCTTCGAGTACCTGTGTTATTGTTTTTATCGCCTATTGAATATCTTACAATTTATGATGCGTATGTAATAACAAAAAATATTAAAAATATCTTATTCACTCGTTTACATACTTATCTTATGTATAAAAATAAATAGCTGATCGTTGGCCTCAATTAAAGACGAGAAGGGTTGGACTGCTTTATTGTGGTTTTGAAATATTCCTGGATATACAGGGAAGGTTTAAAATGACGTAGAATATGACTAAATAAAAATGATTTTCATTTGAGGCGCGACGATTTTTCTCGTGTCAGTTGGTATACTTAGGATAATTACTGAAAATTTTTGTTATCATAATTTTGGTAGAATAATTTCGAAATAAAAACACAGGTACACGTGTTAGTAATAACCTTGAACTTAACATATGACATTAAAATTCGTTAATGACATTACAGAGCAAAAAATTCAAACTCCAAAATTTGACAATTACAAAATGAAAATTAAAGTTAGATTGTGTGCAAATGAGGGAAAATTTTTTTTTTCTGATCCTTATCTGAACTTAGCCTTCATTAATATTCACGGATTTCAAAATGAATAACTTCTTTATTTAGGGTTCCATAGCCTCATGGCAAAAAACGGAACCCTTATAGAATTGTCATGTTTGTTGTTTGAGTGTCTGTCCGTATGACACAGCTACTTATTTCCTTAAACTATGAGGACTATGCTGTTCAATCTTGAACATTACCGAAGACACTTTCCACGAAAGTTTATTTGAACGGGATCTTTTGTTGGACGTCATAAATCGTAAAATGATGTGTCTTGCTCGTACGAAACCTCGACCGACTCGCATTTGGACGCTTGCCTTAACCAGTATTTTGTATGAACTTATCATTCATATTATTACAGACTTACAAAAAATTAAATCAAATAAAAGTAATTACCCAGAAATGTGCCAAGATGTTGACATCAAACGTCCTCTGGATAAGATGGTCAGGAGTCTGGAGAAGGTAGCTCCCGGACACGACACCAGCATTATTGATCAGCAGGTTCACCTGGAAATCGAAGAAAATTGTTATATATTTATCATCATAGCCGCCATTTAGACCTTAGTGCTAACACTTAAACTTTCTGATAGAAGTAGAGTGACTATGCTCAATCTCTGGTACCTACTTCGAACCAAACTACTGACAGTAATTTTGCGTCAATTTATTTAGCTCCAGCTATAAAAGAGAATGTGATTTAAGTAGTTTGCTTAAATAGAGATTTCACTTCAGAAAATCTACCCTAACCACGTACGTTAAAATTTATAAGAATATGGATGTCACAAAAGAGGAACTATCTCTCAGAGAGGTTTTTTTGTAATTGAGGGTCTACAAAGGGATTACAAAAACAAATAGCTATTATAAATATTAAAAGTTAAACATTTTAACTAAAAGTTCTTTTTCCATCGTTGTTCTCTGTCCTCGTATTGGCTGAAGGACATTTCGATTGGCAAATCTCTGCAGTAAAACTATACTTGAACTTTGCTTTGTGTGAGGTTAAAGAAATATTAACATTTGTATTGTATGGCAAACAATTTTTTTTTATGAGATTAGTCGCCAAATTAGCTGAAGGATTACCCGACGGTAAGCAATCGGCGCCGCCCATGGAAACCCGCAACACCAAAGGAGTTACGAGTTCGACGATTTTTAGGGATAAGGGGTTCAGATATTTAAGGATTGGTAAGCGGCGTAGAAGGTAAAGGATTGGGCCTCTGGTTACCTCACTCACACAGCGAAACGCAACGCTGTGGTTGTTTCACGCCGGTTCTCTGTGAGGCCGTTATTTCACTCTGGTCAAGCCGACTGATTCGTGAATAAACTGCTAGACTACTAGACAAAAGGTGGATATAGATCTATACTATATAGAGGTTCTTTTACTAAGGAATTTTCTTAACGCAAATATGTATTTCACAGTTCTGTAATAATTATAGTCGCAGCTTTCCTTCGCAACTTTACTTGCATTGGTATGCCGTGTGTTGACACATTTTTCACTAAGTGTGACTCAACTACCGTCCGGCTGTGTATCAACTATCAAGATAACGTCATATCCGTCATCTTGGGAACTTTATCTGTATATTATGAGAGGCTCACGACTCCTGCAATGTCCTGATTACCTGGTATGAATGTTAAAGAGGTTTTAAGAATATTTGGAATGTTACTATACTATTTTTTAAAGTCTGCATACTGTTCGTGGTAGCGGTTAAGGCCGCCGCTTCACATGCATGAGGTTGCGGGTTCGAAACCTGGCAAGTACCAATGCGACTTTTTACGAATTACATGTACTTTCTATGATTGTTATTGATTATTTAAACACCACTGACATACGGTGAAGTAAATCAACAATCCACCTGAGAGCCAGCGTGGTCATTAATGCTCAAACCTTCTTCGTGAGAGAAGAGGCCTTTGCTCAGCAGTTAGCACTTGTAGGCAGATGATGCAACCTTTATATAGGTATTAATAGCAACCCGCCCCAGATTTAGCGGGTGCAATTATTATATTTCTCTAGTATACATAAATGAATTTTATTATACATGATCTTCCTTTTCCATTACTCTATCAAATAAAAAATACCGCATCGAAATACGCTGCGTAGTTTTAAATATTAAAGCATACATAGGGATAGAGAAAGTGACTTTTTTATACTATGTTGTGATTATAGGTACCTATTTTCTATACTAAACTACCTATGACCTACCTACCAGGTAAAATATATAATAAATTACCAGATGACATTAAAAATGAACAAAAATGTAATATCTTGATAAATAAATTAAAAAAAACTTTTAATACATAAATGCTATTATAATGTACAGGAATATTTAAATGATAAATTTAATAAATAAACTAAAAATAACACTGTAATCTATACCTAATAACAATTATAATGTATTTGTACTCAATTAGTTATAAGTTATATAAGCCTATCTACATAAAAATAATGAAAAATTGTAAACATATATTTACACTAGCCCTCCTCATAAAAATTACTAATATTGTTATGCCCAAAAGGGCCCACAATGCTCCTAAACTAATATAAGTATGTAAATCTTTATGTACCCTACCACCTAAGTTCACATTGTGGAATGCAATAAATAAATTGAGTATTGAGTATTGAGTACCTTTTCCTTCAATCACTTTGATTTACTACGTAGACACACATATTTAACATTTTACGAGTTTGTTCAGTCAATATTAGTGCAGAGGTCTTAAAAGCCGTACGTAATTTTTGCCTTTAAACTTAATTGTGTTGATAATCAATAAGGAATATGAAAAAACAGCTGTATTATTTAACAAAGGTATTGTAAATTGCACAAAATTCGTTCCAACAAATATGCATTTGATGTGTCATTTAAAGGTCGGTTTCTGATGTGCTCAGGTTTGTTTTTTCGCTTGCCTTTTCATATTATCTACCTGTCGTGGGTTTTCAATTTGATATATCCTTATTATTTTGTTTGTTTACGTGTAGGTAATGAATAATTAATAAAAGTAAAGTAATGCTAAGTGTGTGAGAGTCATGCTTCGGCACGATTTGGTCGGCTCGACCGGAGTGATCACCACACACTCATAGATAGTTTTGTTTCACCGTGTGAGTTGCTCAGACCTTCCCCTACCCCAATCTCTAAATCTCCAAATAACTTATCCCGAAAAGGCAACGTACTACGTATAAGTAGCGCTGATTGCTTACCATCAGGTAATCCGTCTGCTCGTGTGCCGTCCTATCACATAAAAAATGGGTAGGCTGTAGCTGTAAAAGCATAATTTAAATTTCTTTGCATTGCAGTGTTAATACCCAATTTACAGAACCTCTCCCCGAACAACGATCACAACATAGCCGTTTTCAAGTTACCGAAGCGTAGGTATGTTGATTTTGTCGCGCCTCAACAAGCCAATACTTAGACCACCACGAATAAGGCTTATCGGAGTGGCGGGGCAAGTGCAGGAGGACAGGAGTTTTTAGTCAGTAGGAGTCTGACCAATGACACTCTCTCTCGTTTAACCTTGAGTGCTGACCAATGACACTCTCTCTCGTTTCACCTTGAGTGAGAGAAGTCATTTGATGTATTCAAGTTCACCGCTGAGCAACGCATTTACCTTATCACTGTGATCCTAACTGCATGATTAATCGTCGCGGGTTCGTTTCATTTTGTGTGATCCGCAAATTGTTATTCCAGGTCTTGGTGTGATTTATATGCGAGATGGTTTGCAACGCGCCCATGACACAGCAGAAAATCCCAATGCGGGGCTTTAAAAAAATGTTTGAGTTGTTAATGATTTTGTCATTTACATACCCTGCCGACTTCATCTTCGACTTTCTTGGCTACCCTGTATATATCTTCCCTGCTCGCTAAATCCACGACGTAGCCGTAGCATTTACCTCCGATGCCTTTCACCAACTTCACTGTGTCTTCCAAACCTGAAACAAAACACGTTTGCTAATTATCATCATTGCATTGACTCGCGTTTTTTTGTGATATTCGAATACTTTTTTTTTGCAATTTCTGGTATTAATTAACACATTTATTTTGAAATGTCAATGTCGCAATTGCATGATATCGACGTCATCGATGGGGCGTGCATATAGGTACATACCTACATAATAATATGCTATATACTTTACATTGTTATCAATCGTATCTATTTATATGGCCGTAAATTATAATGAATATCTACTTACTAACATAATTATCCTTATGTTGTTGATACTAGAGTTTACTTTAATTGATTGCTTATTTAAATGGATATAAATAATAATAACAGGTGCAGTATGTAATTAGATATGCTATGACTAAGTAGGTATATTTTTTTTATAAATGGCAGGATATTTTTGTAAAATTTCTTAAGTGGATTTGTTAAATGATTTTTTATTCCTGAATACTTCTGTGGTAGTATAAACGTTTTAGAATATCTAAGCCCTTGCAAAATAGTTGAAATCACGATTTAAATATTTAATTTAAATAATTTAAATTATTAATTTCTTTGCTTTACTGTCAAAATAAATTTACGACCTCAAGTTTGTAGCTCATTTGGGGCAATAAGTCAAACATAAAGAATTTTAGAACCAGTCCCAAAAATGACCAAACGGGTCAATGAACTCTGTTGAACTTGAACTTTTTTGACATTTAAGTGTACTGTTATGCGGAAAAAGAATGAAAATAGCCATTTGTCTGACAAAGAAGTCATTTTCGTGGCATTTCTTCTCAACGGAGTACCTCTAACATTCATATATTACATGTAAGTATATAAATACACTAGCGGTCCGGTACTTGCTTCGCTACGTATAAGGTATAGTAATAAAAAATAAATTATGATTTTACACTTTTTCAAGATTTTTGTTAAATTTTCTCTACATAAAAACATTTTTTGGACGAATAATTTAAAACCAAAATTAAGCATTGTTGAGATAAACATTACAACGAGAAGTGGCATTGATTTTTAGACATACATATGTATAGTGTACATGTAAGTGTAACACATTATTTCATTATTTCTAGTATATTTTGTATACTGTTGTACTATTGTTGTTTAATTGAATTCCCAATCATTAACTCAACCCAAAGGTTGTCTGTAAGAAATCGCATTTATAAGACCCATATGCGATAAGACCCATTGTCACATATTAAGGTATCCTATTTTATAAGGTATTGTATATACACAACAAAGAGTAAATAAACAAATAAGACTAGGCGCGTCATCTGGACGTGCCTTAGTTCCTTACTTTCATTATCTTCTCAAGTGTACGTTAAAGCTTACATACATACTTAGGTACCTACTTTCTACATATTATTATAATGAAACTGATGTCGGAGACGACGGTGTCCATTAACGAGGTAGCGAGTCCGTTATAAGTATTTTTTTATAAATTTCGAGTACGAGGAGAAAGTAGCTGGCCGATACAATACGAAAAAGTATTCATGTTATATTAATCCGTTGACATTAATTCGAAATTCGGATGGTTCTAATGACACCATACTTTGCAAGGCGTAAGCATTAAATTTCTGGTTTTGTGATTCAAAAGTTGAAGATCTACATAGATTCTTGTGTAACTATATCTTAAAAATATATGTAGATCTTCTTTATAGATCACTCATATCAAAGATTTTAAACTTAGGGCTGATATTTCAATGGTTATATAAAAAGTTATCTAAGGAATAATTATGATGCTGTCGTATCAGAATGTTGGTATGAGACAGTGACAGCAACAATTTTATTCCAAATTTTATTGACAAATTACTTTTTAGAATTGTAAATTAAACGCTTAGGCTTCCACGCGATGTTTACCTTCACCATATGTCAGATGGATACATAAAAACGAATCTTTAGAAAGTACATAAAACAACCCATTACATAACACACGAGCATGTAGGATAACAATATAAATCAGTATAACTTTAAGTGGCCATTAGCACAAGCGATGACCAAATTATCGGCCAAATTACATGAAACTGTCAAGGTGAGCCGGATTCCAGTACTTGTGCAAGAAACCTCGTGTTCGATCAATTGAATCAGGCCCCTGTTTCAAGAGTATTCGGCCAAGAGCACACGTTTATCGCACGCACAGCAAACTGTTTGCCCTTTAAATATTGTATTTATATAAACAACAGTTATATACACAATAATATAAAATACTCTGCTATCGAATCAAATAAATGGAAGTTCAGGTATTATTGGCTAGAAATCAAGCTTTAAATAGCGAAGCAGATTCAGCGTATTTAAGCTAGAAGTAAACTTGTAAAGCTGCGAACGCGACGATATCTTAAACAAGCTGAAAATATAGCATACTCTATCTAATCGGGCTGCGATAGATGTACGAGTATCTAACTCACGTGACAAGATCCATCGTTAGGTTAACTACTTATTTTTATATAATTCTAGGTTTACTGCAGATAAGCTTAAAATTATAGAAGATTTAAAAGCATCTCCGCATGAACATTCGACTTCCTAAATTAACAACAGACACACAAAAGTACAATGACACGGCTGAAAGAGCAATCTCCGGCTCATACACTGCGCACGCGCCTGTAATGGTAATGCTGCGCTTACGCACCGCTGCGGTACTTCCGCGCTTCACGGGCAACGCGCACGCGCACACATGCAACAGACGCACGTACCGCATTAATCTGATTAGCTGTAATTACGCTGAGAAAACGTTTTACTGTTATAAAGGAAATTGAAAGTAGTTGCTCCGAATAAAAAAGTACCAATAGCCGAATGTTTGCTGAGAATTTTATGATTTTAAAATTGGGTTTGTTATCGGTCATAAAAATATCAGAAAGTATTACCACCACGCTTGTTCATTCTTTCTGTGTGTGAGAAGAGGCTTGTTCTCAGCAGTGGGTTAGTTCCAGGCTGACGATGTTATGTGATATCACTAACGTCTGTGTAAGGTCATAGAAACCCAGAGTAAAGGGGCTATGGAAGCGTAATTGTAGCAATAGTGTCTCACGAAGCAAGAGTAATAAAGTTCAGTTTTAATTACGCAATGAACTCGCTTTCGACCGTTACTTTATACGTTGCAGCGTTATTGTTGTTTCTCTTATTTTGTTTATGTCTAATAACTTCGATAGAAACATATTACTAAGTTATTGGCAACATATAAAACTTTTAATGTTTTATTGATTAATAAAAAACAAAGGTAATTTATTTTGATGCAGGGGCATCAGTGTTAGCTACAAATGTGGCTGCGAAGGTTATATTATTTTTTATATGTCTTAGTGAGACTGCAGTCCGACCGCAACGCAATCATTTGCCACAAGCATCTAGTGTTATTTTCTCGAACATAATGAAGATATCGCCTAAGGTTGTCAAATCTCCTAAGGATTGTGACTGGACCATGGACGAGTATTGTTTAGTCAGTAACAATCTGTCAGATACATTCGTCTTCCCCAGGTGAGGGTTCTCCTTATGTAATTCCAACTTTGTCTCATAAAATGTGTATTGATAATAAGTTCCTTATCATTCAACAGAATATCAATACTTGTAATAGAATAAACTAGAAGTATTTGTCATTTGTTTTTGTCCCATAATTGTTGCCTCAAAAATATTAATTATTACCTCTAAGCTTGTTTTGCTAAGAAGCCAAATAATATAAAGGCAAGGTCATCTGAACAAGTTATTCAAAACAAAACTGTAAACAATTAAACGCTTCGTAAGTTCACGTACAACTATTGTTTATTTAAAATAAATTTGACAAAGCTTACAATTAAAATTAGAATTTAAGATCGAAGGAATAAGAACACTTTTACGCTTTAACAGTCTTTTATCAAGAAACAGAGGCGATTGGTAGTTACAGTATAATATTCCCAAACAATTTTGCATCATCATCCTAGGTTCACGACTCAGCCTACAGGCTTAAGCTTAGCTTATTATCAGAGCCTCAATACATCTTTGAAATGAAACGTGAATTAGCGAGAAGTCATTTTCTGCATGTAAACGTCAGTGTATACATGTGACAACCCTAGATAAATAATGATGGCAATTACTAAGCGTTATCTGAGATACACTCAGGCGCATAGCGGTGGTACTTATTACAAATGGAGATCGATGGAGACTTTGATAGATTATACATATGTACATATAGAGGGATTTGTGAACATTAAGTAGTTATTTGTTTCTTAGTAGGTAGAATCTAACTGGTATTTTTTATCGTATGAATCTAGTCTTTTAGTTAGTTTTTGTTTCATAGTACATAGTTACTTATGGGTATTAAGAATGTTCTTTTTAATAGGATTGGTATTATACCTAACTATAGGTACGTTTTTGTTCAAACCGCTTTGAACAGGCGACTGCAGCGTGGTGATTAATGCTCAAACATTATCCGCGAGAAGAAGTCTTTGCTAAGTTGTGGGCCCTTGTATGTGTGTGTTGCATGTTTGATTTAAAATTTCTGCCAAAAGAGGGCTAGTGGTCACATGGTGCGTTTGTTTGACCTTAGTGGTATTTGAATCTACCTAGGGTTCGATTCAATTTCGACCAAAAGTATTATAGGTACACTTAAGTACACTTATTCTATTTTTAATAAACTACCTTCTGTCCGCAGTTTCGCACGCGTATAAGAGTAATGTCTCCAGGGATTTTAAAAAACTGCAGCGCTCAAAGCGATAGTTCGACTGAACTATGCAAACCAGAAAATACCTAGAACCTATAGCACTCAGAAACATTGTATCCATCTATCAGTGAAAGAATTTTGGAAATCCGAAAAGCAGCAGAGCTCGCTACATACAAACTTCTGCCTGTCTGTTCTGTATCTTTCGACATGTTCAAAATTAATGGGTTGAATAAAACTTGATGGTCAAAAATCTTTTTTTGTCTATATTAAAAAGCAGCCAGTGACTGATGGAAATAAAAAAGTACTTAACTAAACGAAAAAAGATTGCATAATATTTTAAACGGATTTAGTAAAAAAATCTTTGGACATAAAAAAAAACATTACGTACAAAATAACTTCTAGAACAAGTTGTTGACAAAAATAATTACGATTTACTAGATGTTTATCTCTCTTTATCTTAGGCGGATATTAATAAATAATCATGCGTCATCATCCAAATAATAATAACTAATTATATGTCTAGGACGGCTATTTAAGAGGTACTTATACTTTTTTTATAAATTGTTTCAAGAATTTATTAGTTTAACCACAGGCTTAACAATTACGCACGGTGTAATAACATTCGCTAGCTAGTAGGTAACCTAATACTACTAAGTCAACTCAAATTATGCGAGCTGTTTTTATAGAAGTTTTCAACATTCATTTACCGATATTTCCGACGTTATAGAACAAACTGAGCCTTGAACCTTCTTGCCTTATTATCATACAAAAAAATGTATAAGTACTACTTTTTTGAATATGCTGCGGCCGCTGCCATGACTGTTAATGGTCAAATGAGTGTATAGTGAAATTACCGAAAGTGTTTGAATCACATCTGAATCAGTATGTGTACCCAGCTGAAAAATGTCTACATTTAAACAGAATAAACGCGAGTAGTGGTGATTAGCTGGTTCTGGCGCAAGCGCCAGAACCAGCTAATCACCCGGAATCCAAAATCTGAGTGGCACCAAACCTAAAAAAAAAAAAAAAAAAAAAAAAAAAAAGTTTGGTATGCTATCCTAGGTTTTGGCATGCTCTGATCACGTTTCTGCAGTCCGTTTTAGCGTAGGATGCGTGGTTCTGGAGTTATGAAAATCAGAATCAGCTTCTGAACCCTCATTAACGTTCCTTTGTTTGCTTATCGTTACATTACTTAACGTCCCATTGTTCGCCTATCGTTATCATTATCTATTGTGCTTCGAACTCTCTCATTACGGTTGCTTTGGCGTTCTTATCTATTACTCATTGTTAACTTCATTTTGTCTGATTTTCTATATCATCAATAAAACACAATCATTCATTTTTATTTCGAACTTTTATTACTTTTTTTTACAAAATATGAGTGGAACATCTCATCCACTAAATTATCATTGTACAGCGTGTTTCCTGTAAATATGTTCGTAAAACTATGCATTGAACATCCCTGAAACTTAAATAGCAAATACATTAAGCAATATTCGCCACAAACCGAAGTCCAATCATTCTGAATCCTATCAACATTCCAGTCCCACCTCTTACAATTCCTTTTCAAAAACTGAAGATGATATCGCTCAGGTGTTCGTCCATATGAATCAAAATATTGGCCGATACCATTTGTATCGATATGTATGGCTACCCAGTGTGACCCTGGTTTATCATCCGCATCCAAATTGCATATTATATACGTTGGTACATGTGTGTACATAGGTAGTCTATTAGCAGCATAAACATTATTTTCTAGACTCGAATGAATCTTTTTCATATGTTTTTGTAATTCTAGTGTATCCATGATATTACTGTTATTAGCAGATTATTACAGTACCAATCTATTCAATGGTTGTCATAGGAATGTTCAATGATAGTGATTTGTAAATATTAAATCGCATTCTTTGTGTTAGTCACAAAACAGGTTCATGCCTGTTGTGATGTGAGATAAGTTTGTTGATTCATAGAGTTTCGTTGTACTTAGGGATGTGTATGTGTGTGTCATGTTTTAGATAAGAATGGGCTATATATGATGGAACAATTGCAGTCATGCAATCAGTGTATGGTCGTTTGACCACAGTGAATTGTATACGTCTACCAATACTACGTTTGTGTTACCTACTTCAACGCATCATGGAGGTAAGTGTTTATTCTATTGACAAACTTACTTGTATTTCTGTTGTTGTTTCCTTTCGTGTGTGTGTCAGATTAATCAAATAGATATTAACGTGATAACTCTGTTGTTGCAGAGATCATTCAGCTTCGCAGACGATAATGTAAATACCTATAAACAGTATTTCTTCTCGCCTCTCTCTCCCCAACACGAAGAAGAGAGTGATGACATCGTTGTTAATAACACAGGCGATGGTGGAAAAAGGAAATCGCAACCGACTGATACATTTTTGAAGTGGCACCAAAAATAAAAAGGAGGAAGCTGCTATCGTCGACTGGGGCACGAGCTGTTAAAGATGGCGTATACATCTCTACAAATTCTGACGACGGAGACCAAGCGACGCATCTCATAAAAATTGAAATGTATGATATGAAGAAACTATCCAAGATTCCAACTAGTGATCACTGGAAACACGCTACCACGAGGATTAAATATTACGTAAAGGATTATAAGGATAGCATCTACGACAACACAAACGGTCTCGTATACAATATTACAAAGACAATAGCAGAAAGTGAAAAAGTAAAAAAATACTTTTTTAACAATGACACTCAGTCATTAGTGGACTAGTCATATTTATACAAATAAAGGATTCAAAAGATGTTTATAAACTAATCAAACTAATAGTATATGTTACCTAATGATATAAAAGTTTGTGATGAAATGGAGAAGCGTGAACTGTTCGATTCATCGTATGATGATGAGTTGTATACTCAATGTGTGATGGCTGAAACAACGTTAATGTAAGTATTAGCAGTACAAACTGAATAAGAAATATTATTGTAGGAATGTTTTATTTTAAGATTTGTCTAATAATTTTCTTTTTTTGTTGCAGTCAACAACAAGTTGGAAGAGGTACCAAACAAGGTATCATTACTAATGAAAATAAGGTTACCAAGAAAGCAAAATTAAATGAAGGAGCTTCTACATCATCAATTGAAACCAATGACATTGACAACAATAAGGTGGAATGTGATACATGTCATGTTTATATTGCTAAAAGGTATTTAAACAATCATTTGAAAAGCAATACACATAAAAATAATCTTTTAAAATTACATAATTCATTACCAAATGTTACAGTCGTTGAAACAGCTTTTGGTAATCGAATTTTAACATATAGAATTAATAGTAAAACACATCAATCGGGACAATATTTTGAAACACCGGAATCATTTTTAAATTCATTAAAAATAGATATCTTATTTTTGATAAATGAATGTATTCAACAACATACAATTTTAAAAATAAACTTCATATTGCATGCTGATTTCATACAACAAACTAAAGGTATTAAAAATACGTTTGATTTTCAAACGTTTAATTACATAATTTGTCAGGGAGATGACTTAAATATTTTTTATTCATCATTAATAGACACAGTAGTCGGTAAAATTTGTCAATTTGAAAAAAAAGATAGTGGTTGGAGTCTTAATCAAATTAAATACATAGATATGAATGTTAACAAATTCAACCCCCTACGTGGTAGTTCATATGTCAACCTTCCTCAAGATATAAAATTAAAAAAAGCTGTAATCAATGTTAAAAATAATGATAATATGTGTTTCAAATGGGCATTACTCTCTGGTTTATATCCTGTAGGTAAAAGTGTAGATCGGGTAACATCTTACACAATTCATGGAAATAAACTAAAATTTACTGGTATTTCTTTTCCGGTTAAAATTGTAGATATATCAAAAGTTGAGAAATTAAACAATATTAGTATTAATGTTTTTGGCTTAGAGTATAATAAAGAAAAAAAGTGTAATTCTGTTGTAGGTCCTTTATATTTAACAAAATGTCGTACACCTAATCATATTAACCTACTATATATATCGAATGGTATTAAAAATCATTACTGTTATATTAAAAACTTATCGCGATTAGTAAGTTCACAAATATCAAGACAACATCGTAGAGTTTATATATGTGATTCATGTTTACTTCATTTCCCATCAGAGGAAAGACTTAATAGCCATCAACAATATGATTGCGCTCACATTTGTACGGAATTACCAAACGGCGAGTATTCCAAAAAGGATTGGTTTGGTAAACCAACCTCAAATACTAAATTAAAATTTGACAAATTCGAGAAAAAGTTGGAAATGCCCTTTGTGATTTATGCAGACTTTGAGGCATTTTTGAATCCAATAGAATCATGTAGTAACGATCCATCTAAGCCTAGTACGGTTAATATTCAAAAACATGAAGTGTATAGTTTTGGATATTATATTAAATGTTCATATGATAACAGATTATCAAAATATGAGACGTATAGTGGGTCAAACTGTGCACAAGTGTTTATGAATCGCCTTTGTGAAGATGTGAAAACAATAGTTAAAAAAAATAGTTTCCAAAAATGCCCCGTTCCATTATCAGATGAAGATAAAATTAAAATTTCAAATTCAACCATATGTTATATTTGTGAAACTGAGTTAAATGAAGATCTTTTTTACGATTTTGATTGGCACACTGGCAGTTTTAGGGGTGTTGCACATCAAGTGTGTAGTTCTAAGTACAGAACCCCTCGTCATATCCCAATATTCTTACATAACCTCAGTCACTACGATGCTCATTTCATTGTCCATGCATTAAACTTCGATGATAACAAAGTTGAAGTTATTCCACAAAATAAAGAACGATACATATCATTTTCAAAACAGTTAACAATAAATAATCAACCGGTAAGTTTAAGATTTGTAGATTCATTGAAATTTTTATCGTGTAGTTTAGATCAACTAGCTAAAAATCTTAATGATGATCAGTTTACAGAACTAAAAAGAAACTATCCTAATAATGAAGACTTTTCACGTTTAAGACGGAAAGGTATTTATCCTTATGAATTTATGTGTAATAGTGATTGCTTGAAACATCCATCACTTCCTGATCAACACCAATTTTATAGTTCACTCACAGATTCAAATATTTCAAATGATGATTATAATCATGCAAAAGATATTTGGCAACATTTTAAGTGTAGTAGTATGTCTGATTATTCCAATTTATATTTAAAAACTGATGTTTTACTTTTGA